CTTGCTTTATAGTTAGATCGTGTTTACAGTTAATTTTACTTCATAAATCCTGTCTACTTTATGTGACTGTATCTTCTGTGTGTGTGTCCTTACAGCCATCTTCCAGATCATCCAGAGCATCAGGCAGGGCATGTGATGACCTTTGACCCTGGAGGAGCCGAGCCTGTCCCATGACCCCGCCCAACACACACACACACACACACACACACACACACACACACACACACACACACACACACACACAGTTGTTCCTGTGGAGTTTAAATCTGAGCTGGTTCTTCTTCTTCTCTCTCTGTGTTTTTTTACTCTCTTCATTATGGATGAAGCTGATCAGATATTGATTATTGATTGCTTATTGATTACTGTTGGTTGTTGTTGTCTGACACAGTCGTCCAGATGTTGATCTCTGCTGTTTGTCTCTGACATTTCGCTGAAGTTTGTCTGACTTGAGATCAGCTGAGAGAACAGATGGCTGAGTTTCAGCTCATCAGTACAAACCATCAGCTTCCTGTTTGTGTTCAGTTTAAACGGTTTGACACCACTGTGACTAATAAAGCTCAGACAGAAGACGCAGCGAAGGCGTTCACTCACCTGTCATTCACCCTGATCCTCATCTTTCAACTGCTCAGTCCAGATTTTCCACTTTTAATCTGCTGCCAATAAACCTCAACACTTCCTCTGCACATTTCACATTAAAAGTCCTCCAGCAGAGCCTGTTATTGTTGGGCTTTTAATGTGAAATATGTGCGGGCTTTTAATGTGAAATAAGTGTTTCAGTGGCAGCAGATTAAAAGTGTGAGATGAGACCAATATTTCCTGAGATGACCTACAGAGACAAGAAACAGCTGATGATGACAGATGAATTAAAATCATCAGAAATGATCACAGGCTTTGATTTGTAGTCGGTTTATAACAGAGGGTTCCCACGGTCATGGAAAAGTCATGGAATTTCACTGTCACATTTTCCAGGCCTGGAAAACTTTTGGAGTTCGTAAAAACCCTTGAAAGCTTTGGAAGTCATGGAATTTTGTTGTGTGTAATGAAATCCGTGTTTCCTACAGTCATGAAATACCTGGAAAAGTTACATTTAAAACAAAACTGTGCCCGGCCTGGAAATGGTTTGGAATTAACAAAATGATTCGGAAAAGTTTGGAGTTTACATTGTTTTATCAAAACATGTCTAACGTTCAAAACATGTTCCTTGTATTACTGATTTAAAATCTAGTGCTGCGCTTTATGACCGCTGAAACGTGACGTGATGGCGATCAACCTCCATTTATGAAGACATAATGTACACTCAGGTTCAGAAACAATTATTAGACATACACAAAGAACAATTATAAATTATAATCCAAACATGTCTAATTGCATTGACATCTCCAGGATCTGTGGTTTTCTGGCCCCCCAAAAAGGGGACGTGGCCTTGACATTTTGTGAAGTGCCTGTATATGCCAATCCGGCCCGTTCTCACGCCCAACTCTTCAACTACTGCCGCTTTGTCTGTGAACCTCAGTATGAGACACTGATGCACAGAGGCACCCTTCACGGTGGTACGATATGAACCGCTGCTGGCCACCACTGTCGTATAAAGTCTGAACATGGCAGGCGGCAGGGAGGCGGACAGGTCAAACAAACGTCGGACTTAAACCTGGAAGTCCACGTTAGGTTTCCTGTGTGAAACCACAAATCAGTCAAGCTATTTTAATAATAAAGTAGTGTGCTAGTGTGTGTGGCAGCAAGCTAGTGTTGCATGTGACGTGATGTTAAATGACGTTAGCAACAACTGCGCTTATTCTAAGCCAAACCATTATGTATTTTTCTATCTCTAACCGCGTGCTTTTGCTGCCTAAACTTTAGGAAATAAACCTAAAAACAAAGTGTTTTGCCTGCGCTGTAACTTTATTCTGAAAAAGACTGTATGCATTTAACGAGCAGATACTCTATTTCCTGTGAGAACAGAAGTTAATTGCATGTAACACGAGTAAATTGACACGCTGTCCCTGAACGTCAAAAACTGACGCAGGAGGGTACATATTTTGACGTGTAGGTCCACTGATAAAGCTGCGACATTTGGTGATTTGGGATGAGAATATGTTGGGCGGTCTGCTCCGTTAGCATACACAGCTAGTAGTTATCTAATGAGCGATTTAAGTTACCATGAGTGCAGTTTGCTTATCCACAAATGCCTGGAGCGTGTGTCTTTAAGAATGTACGGCTTGGCAATGGCAGAGACCTGGGCAAAGTGATGTCAGCAGGGTAAAACATTATGGAAACGTTTTGAAAATCCATTGGTTAAAAATGTGTGGGAACCCTGGAGGTTAATGTTCTATGGATAACCTTATATGAAATGTAACGTAATAAATTAATTTTCTGTAGCTGTCGATGGGACGCAACGTTTTGTTCATCGCGTACGTCTCAGTAATTTCTCTTAGGTTCGTCTCTCCCTTCTTGTCTGCCAGCTAACTCAAAATATGTTTGAATTGAGTTTGAATCTGATATGTTTAAAAAAAATTGGCAAGAATTTTTTTGTATGGGTCCTTAGAAAGTCATGGGAAAGTTTTGAAAATGTCTTGATGAGAATGTGAGGGAGTCTAAAATTAAACCGATTCGTAACATAAAGCACAGACATGATGCTCAACATGAAATTATTTACTTGTTTGTCTTCTCACAGAAGTTAAAGTTGGATTTTTCCGTTAAAGGTGATGAGAAGACAATGCCAATATAAACCCTTGAAGTAAAATAAGTCATGTCTGAGCAGCAGCGGCAGTGTAAATGACAGGATCTGTATTTGATGACCTCAGAGCAGCAGTCTGCTCTTGTTTCCGTCTCCTCAGACAAACAGGTTTAAATCTGATCTCAGCTCAGAGCTTCAGTCAGATGGTGAACTGCTGGTTTTGTAAAGCAGGTGTCGGTTTAGTCTTTGGAAGGTGAAGCAGACGACGTGCTCCGCTTTTATACTAAATAATAAACCACAGATATTTTTCTCTACTGGCCTCTGATGTGTGTGTCCTCTCTGCTGTCTCCTCTCAGCACCCACACTGAAACACGTTTGTTACATACTTGTTTTTATAAAGTCTAACAGCACAGCTACACTCACAGATATCTGAGCCTCCTACCTGCCTGTCAAGCACAGTCAACCCAGAAACCTTCTCCAGTCCGGACTGAGTGGAGTCCTGCAGGGTGAAGCTGTGTGGTACCTTGTGAACACGATATCTCAAACACGCCTGAAGGGAATGTCCTCAATTTTGGCACAGTGTCCACTTGCAATGATGAACTGATTCGTTTTTGGTTCTTAAAAGTCTCTTGCATCCATCTCATTCTTGTGAATGCGATATCTCAAGAACACTTTAAGGGAATTTATTAAAATTTGGCACAAACATCCACTTGGACGATTAGAATTTTGTGGTCTAATGTCAGTGTGACCTCACAAAACATGTTTTTGGCAGTAACTGATGAATTCAGGCAATCATCTTGACATCACATTATTATTATCCAAGGGCTGTTAAAATGTACTGTAGAACACTTCATTCAAGTTAGAGCAATACATTTCCTGAAAACCAAAACAAACTACATTCAAAATGAAAAACACTGACACCTGGTGGACAAAGTCTAAAAGTGCATGTGGGTTAGAAACTTAGCAGCTACACTACAATGATCACATTAAACAAACAAACATACCAGAAGTACGTGGAAGACATAATGGCACATTAATGACCTTCAGTCATGACAGTAAAAACAAAATGCACCAAAGATTACAACATAAACCGCTCACTTTACAGAGTAAATAATAATGTAAGGCAGCAGCATTTTTCAGTGCGACGTCAGCAGGATTTCTACCCATGGTGTACCCTACGCCGCACCACCCCTTTCCCTCAGTGGAAACGAAGCTTTTATTTACTTTAATTTCACAGATAAGAAACAATAAATTGTGAAGATAATAAAGCCTTCACAACATAACAAAAGTCGTGTATGATTTATCGTTGCTTCATATGAGCAGATGAAATCTCAGCTAGCTGCTAGGCTAATCTATACAGTGTAAAATGCCATAGGCTTGTGCTAATAAAGTTAACATGTTGTATTTGTTTGGAAAATGTGTTTCGTGTAAGACAGTTGTTTTGTCAGTGAACCTTGTGAGTTGTAATTGAGCTGAATTTTGTAACGTTACCTTTGGTAAATGTTGCTGTTGTCCCTGGCTTCATATGAGCAGAGGAAAAGTTTGCTAGCTGCTAGGCTAATTTATACAATGTAAAATGCCATAGGCTTGTGCTAAAAACATTAGCATGTTGTATTTGTGGGGAAAATGTGTCCAGATAAAGACAAGTGTTTGTCTGTGAGCCTTGTGAAGCCTATTTGTGCACTTGTGTATAAAATTGTTGCTATTAAGCCATGTTTAACTTTACAGCACTTCACAGAAATCCCACTGCTGACTAGTGTTTTGGAGGTGTAACTGCAGAGTGACACAGACACACCACCACCTCACAGTGGCGTAGGCTACAGCGTAGGGCCTGCATAAAGCTGACACACAACTACAAATCAGACTTGAACACCAGCGAAGCAAAATAGCACTGTGAGGGGCAGACAGAAGGAGCTACGGAAACTCAGTAGGTACAGAAGAGACGATATGCAGCTACTTCATTTCCACAGGATTAAGAATAACAGTAAATAAAAATAACTCATAGTTATAAAATTCACAAACACTCAACAGAAATTTAAAATGACAAATAAAATTTACGATTATAGTTTAGGTCGTGGATCAGGAAAAGGGGGGCGGGGGGCCCACAGAGGCTGCTGGTGCACAGGGCCCAGGGTTCGGTGCTACGGCCCTGCCTGTCAGTAAACAAACTGCTGTTGACACGTTATGTGACTGTAAATAAAGTAAAGTCATGCAGTCACACACAACACGCGCAGGTTATCATTGTAAAACATGATGAAACACAGTAACATAATTATCTCCAGGTAATACACCCCACCACTACCAACACGCCGCCCCCCACGGTAGCTACGCAGTGACGTCACAGACAGAGAAGATGGCGGCTGTGCTGAAGGCGGAAGGTAAAGGAGCTTTAACAGACTGTTTTCCCTTTAAACACCTGCTGTTCTCCGGTGTCTGCTCTTATTTAACCCGGGTTAATGTCTTTATGTAGCCAGACGTTAGTGTCCGCTGACTGGCTCGGCTCAGCTCGGTGTAACCCGGAGGGAGAACCCTGCAGCTCGGCTTTAATCACTGCTGACAGGGACCTGCCGTTAGCCTATCCGGCTAGCCGAGCAGCTAAACAGCCAAACATGAGAATGACTTATTAATCATTAGTTTATATCAGTCTGAACGGGTCGGGCTCTAACGGAAGTAACTGACGTGTTCAAACCTGCTGTCAGATTTTGTGATGGTGCGAAGCGGACACTCGTGTAAACGTTAGCTTTAAAGTTAGCCAGCCGAGCAGGCCGGGAGCAGCTGAGCTCCCGCAGCCCGGAGAGAGGCTCCGTGAGGCCGCCACAGCAATCAGGCGAGTCTGCGGTCTGAGCCGGGCCTCCGGGAGACAGAGACACACATCCATCTGTATGTGTGTGTGTTTAATGTTGTTACTGATGTTGATTATTCACACGCACACACACACACAGAGCAGGATGGAAAACTGAAAGTGTTATGTAACTCAGCACACACACTGATACACTGTCAGTTATGAACACACACTCTCCACATTTAAAGTGGGTGCAAATTCAGCAGTTGCTAGGCAACAGGGAGCTATTGAAGGAGTGTGTGTGTGTGTCCTATTGATCAGACTGTTGACTCTGTGTGTGTGTGTGTGTGTGTGCAGCGGGGCAGTGTGGGCGGCCGTGTGTTGTGTGAGACTCATCCTGCATGGACTCGTCGCCATGAGCAACAAGGAGATGGTTTCCACAGAGACAGGTCAGTCCCAGCCATTCATCATCACTCACACCTGCACATGTCGACACTTCCAGCTCAGTTGCTATGGTAACCAGCTGCTGCTGGTGATGTCGTCTTTTTGCCTCAAAGTGATTGTCAGGCGTCAGGGCTGGGTACCTGTATTCCTCACCTGTATGGTAGTGACTGAATGAACTCGGTACTGAGTAGTATGGAAACGTCTCTGGTCAGTGGATACCTGGTCTGATCACGGACCGTCCTGTCTTCCCACCGAGTCATCAGACTTTCTGTTACAGCCGTCTCCAGTGCCACTGTCCTCTTGATGATTGGTCAGTTGATGGACGAGGAGAAACTTGTTGCTGAGTTCAAGAAATAACTCTCAATCCTGTCGTTATAAAGACAAAGGCCAAAAAGACGATATCATCAAGACTATATTATAGACTATATCCTACCTGAGGTGGATGGGGTAACAGGAAATGTGTGTGTGATGCTCAGTCGCGGGGTGTTTCTGCCCTCACAAAATGCATCAGTGATGAATGTCTCAATTTTATTGCTAATTAGAAACAGAGTTGGCGAGATAGAAACTGTACAAGATAACATTCATGTAAACTAAATGAAAGAGAAATATATCGAACCGTTAATGTAGGAGATGATCAATACTACAGTCTTTAGTCATTTGGCCTGTTTAGTACCGAGTTTCGGTACCCATCCCTACTGCTACAGGAACTGTCTGTCTGATCCATCACAGTGTCACTGTGTGAGGATTCAACCCAAAGACTTCATCAGCAAAGACTCTGTTGATTTAATGAGTGAATCACGACAGATCTCTGTGACTGACTCTGTGTTACATGTCTTCTCGTGGACGTCCTGCACAGACACGCGGGTCACTGTTAGGATGTCTCAGTGTCATTTCAAACTTACTGATGAGTCTCCAAATAGACACGTAACACATGTCTATGTAAATGTGTGTGTGTGTGTGTGTGCAGAAAACAAAGGACAGAGGAAGGTGTTTCTTCCTAACAAGCTGTTGGAGTGTCTCCCTCGTTTGTCCAGTCTGCCTAACGAACGCCTCAGATGGAACACTAATGAGGTGAGTGACTCAGTTTGGCCTGATTCACGGCACTCAACGCAATTAATGCTTCAGCGACAGGTTTCAGTCGTCACGCCGCAGACCCTCTTTGCTTTTTTATAGTCTGAGTCTATTTCTGTCACCTTAAGTAGAGAGGAAGGGAGCGATCACACCAAGATGAAACGCTAGAAACGCGATGCCAGTAAAACCATTGTTTTCCCATGATTCGGCGCGTCTGACCGGCGTTCAAGCGTCTTTTAAGACGGGCGTTTTTCCGGCGTCTTTTTAGTCGCGTATTTTTGTAGACGCTTCTTTTTAGATGCGCGTTTTTAGACGCTCGTAGATGCTGAAAAGTTAAAATATTTTCAACTTTTTGAGCATCACACACCAGTAGCTAGCGCGCATTGAATAAAGGGCCGATCACACAGAAATGAGACGCTAGAGACGCGGACGCTTCAAAGACGCTTGAAACGCTGGAAGCGCTCATTCAATGCGCGCTAGCTACTGGCGCCTGACGCTCAAAAAGTTGAAAATATTTTAACTTTTCAGTGTCTACGCCCGTCTAAAAAGAAGCGTCTACAAAAGCAGAAAGTTGTCACACCGAACACAGCTTTACAGCCTCGCTGTAGTGGTTGTGTTAAGTCATGTGACCGTGGTGTAGTTTGTTTATAGCCTAGCGATAGATTTTTACTTCTGCTGATTGAATTCAGACTTCAGTAATGATAAAGTGGTGTTGAGCTGCGAAGATAATACCAAAGGCTTTTTGACGAGGGAACCAGGGTGACGCTACCTTCAGGGTTGGACGACAGAGAAATGTCAACCCTGCAACACTCTATCAGGCCCCGATCCGAATGCCACCAGTAAAAAAAAAAACACTTACTACGCCTTTTTATTGTTGCCAGGCAACCATGCCATCAACTCCTTACCCTAACCTTCTCCTGCAATCAATCTACTGTTTATTTATTGTACTTTTTACTTCCTGACATGTTGAGGCAGAGGGTACTGTCTGTAGCTCTGGTTGAGGGTGAGAGGCTGTCAGCAGATAAACAGAGATCTGTGTGGGTACATGAGACCCTAAAAAAGAGGCTGGATCATGGGGAGTACCACCAGTTGGTCCAGGAGCTTCTCCTCCATCATGGACGTTTAAAGTACTGCACTTATCTGCTTCCATGCCTGCTGTTTTCTATTGAGATGGTGCTAACTGTGGTTTGGAAAGTACCCAGCAATAACGTCTCTGTCTGACTGTGTGTTTGTGCAGGAGATAGCTTCTTACCTGATATCATTTGACAGACATGATGAGTGGCTCTCCTGCAGCCTGAAAACCAGGTACTCCTCTCGGCGACTCTCACAGAGCTGCTCAGGTGAAGCTGGTTCACACCTGATGACTCAGTCTGCTCTGGTTGTTTTTCTCTTTCAGGCCAAAGAACGGCAGCATCATCCTGTACAACAGGAAGAAGGTGAAGTACAGGAAGGATGGATACTGCTGGAAGAAAAGGAAGGATGGAAAAACGACGAGAGAGGACCACATGAAGCTGAAGGTCCAGGGCATGGAGGTGTGCAGCACACTGCTCCCCCTGCAGGACACACTCTGTATCTGCACTAACAACTATGATATACAGCATAACTTTATTATTATTAGGGACCGGGCAGCTGCGAGGACCCTAATAAAATCACTTTGGTTACAAAAAGAAACACATTCATTAATTCACTGGAATTTCTCAATTGTGGGTCAGTCAGCCATTTTGAATTTACTTTTCATGTTTTGGGTGTTTTTGGCCATTTCTGACATCTTACTTACTCCTCCGTGAGATTCTGCTGGATTGACTTTGAATTTGGGTCGTAGCATCTAAAGACAAAGTTCCCACGGTCATGGAAAACCTGGAAAAGTCATGGATTTCGTAAAATACTTGTCATCGAATCTTGTTGCTTGGACAGACTGATGCTGCATATTAATATATGAGGGTTATGAATGCATGAATGTTGCTCACTTCTGCCTGTTGTGTGCTTGCAGTGCCTGTATGGTTGCTACGTCCATTCCTCCATCGTGCCAACATTCCACAGACGATGCTACTGGCTGCTGCAGGTCGACACACACACACACACACACACACACACACACACACACACTAATGTACATGAAACATCCTGAACTGAAGTGAGAGTCAGTCACTCATCAATACATCTGTGATATGTGTGACAGAACCCAGACATCGTGCTGGTCCACTACCTGAACGTGCCGTCCCTGGAGGATTCTGGGAAATGCAGTCCGCTGCTGTGTGCGGTGGCCGACCGCCACGACAGTGTGAGGTGGAGCCGAGACGACCTGCTGAACCAGCTGAAGCCCATGTGTACGTAACAAATACAAGTACTTCATCTACACGTGCTGTCAGGGTATCGACCCGGTGGTGTTCACGCGCAGTGCTTGTGTCTCAGTTCACAGTATGAAGTGTTCAGTGGGATCAGGTGATTTCAGTATTGAAGAGTTGGTTCAACACATTCTGGACCGGCAGAGAACCAAACCACAGCCGCGCACACACGCCTGCCTCTGTAACACCGCCCAGGGTAATGCATCACTGTGACATCACTCTGTGACATCACTGTGTGACATCACTGTAAGGTAAGCTAACCTGCCTGATGCTGTGTGTCTGTGCAGTATCTTCAGGAGTGAACATTCCCCACCGATGTAACAGCACCAAGCATCGCATCATCTCCCCCAAACTGCCTCCCTCCTCCTGCAGACCCTCCCCCTCCCCCCTCTCGTCTGAGGCGGGGGAGGCAGGGCGAGGAGGAGGAGGAGGAGGAGGAGGAGGAGAAGCCAAACTGCCCCACCTCCAGGCTCAGAGCAGCCCCGTCTCCTCTCCCTGCCCCTCGTCCACGTAAGTCACTCACACAGGAAGCTGCAGTTCAGAGATGTACAGGAGCCCGGAGGGAACAAGTGAACGTCTCATAGTACAGTTACTGTATTGTGTGTACTGTGTATGTGTGTGTAAGTACACACTGGATGTGTTTTGTGTTGTAGCGCGACCTCGTCGCCTCCTCAGCCGCACAGAGCCACCATCACCATGGGTAACCACGGCAATGGCTTTTACAGTGACCACCGCGGCAACCTGACGACGGTGGCGCTGCCCCAGAACGCCGTGCTTGTCATGGCAACAACTACCAGCATCGCAGGAAGAGGGGGGCAGGGGGGAGGAGGGGGAGGCGGTGAGGAAGCGGGGCCAGGCAGGAGCCTGTCGCTCACCCACTCTGGACAGTTACTGCTCTCCCCCGCTCTCTCCGCTCCTACCGGCGGGCCCACTTCCCCTTCTCCTCCCTCCTCCTCTTCCCCCGTTCCCCCCTCCCTCCCCCCTCCTCCCGTCCAGGCGCCGGGGGTGGCCACCCTCTCCCTCACCCTCCTCCCTTCGCCTGTCATCGGAGGCCTGCTCCTCACCCCCTCCTCCTCAAACACCTCCTCCTCCTCCCTCCGTTCGCCGCCTCCTCCTGCTGCCGCCTCTCCTCCCTCTCCCCCTTCCACCCCCTCACCGCCCCCAGCTCCCCCCTCCCTCCCCCCTGCCTTTGACCCTGACTCTTTCCTCAACTCCCCCAAACAGGGTCAGACATACGGCGGCCCACCTCCTCCCTCCTCCTCCACCCCATCCCCTGCCCTCTGCTCCTCCTCATCCCCCCTCTCTCCCCCCTCCCTCGCTCTCTCACTGTCCCCCACCTCCACCCCTCCCTCCTCTGTATCCCCTCCCTCCTCCCTCTCCTCCCTCTCCTCCTCTTCCTCCTCCTCTGAGGCAGACAGGAGAGACTCAGCTCTCCCCCTCTCCTCCTCCTCTTCATCCTCCTCCCCGCCCTCGTCCTCCCTTCCCCCATCCCTCTCTCTCTCCTTGTCTCCCACCTCCTCTGTGGCTCCACCCCTCCTACCTCTCTGCCTGGAGCTGGGAGCACTTGGGGAATCGGAGGGGGGGAGGCAGGAAGAGGAGGGGAGGAAAGATGAGGAGGAGGTGAAGGATAGGAGAGACGACGACGACGACGATGATGATGATGAAGGCAGCGCTCCTCCCACTAAGCTGGCTCTGCTGCAGGTGAGTCTGTAAACAAACTGAGGGACTACTTACCTCAGTGAGAACTCGTATTCATCCGCCCCGTCTCTCCTTTTTTTTTTTCTCTGTGATTCAGACAAGCCACGCTTCCTCCTGCTCGTCTCCACGGCAACAGACAGGAAGTAGCACCGCTTCACTGCTCCTGGTTTGCCAGGACTCAGCGAGCCAACCCACCCAGCCGGCCAATGAGACGCAGCGACAGGCCACCGGACAGCTGCCGTTGGTCCTGGAACAGCCCTACGATCACCTGCCTGCACCTGATGCTGACTCCACCTCTGCCGCTGTCGCCATGGATACAACTCATCTGGCGACGCCCCCAGTCCAGGTAAAGGAGGAGAGCAGGCGGGGCTACGACTCAGAGGACACCTGCATGGACACGCAGCTGGAGGAGGAAGCGGAGCCCTGCGAGCGTGGAGGGGAGGAGCTGGACATCTCCTTCGACAGCCAGTTTCCTGATCTCATCTCTGACCTCATCACCGAGGAGGCCAATCCCGTTGCAGCTCATCCCGCTGCCATACCTGCCGCTACGCCGAACCCGGCCGTGTTCCCGGCGGGGGTCCGCTACATGGTGCCCCCCCAGCCCTCCCCCTCCTCGTCCTTCCTCCCCTTCCCTCACCCACTGCCCTCCTCCTCCTCCACCCGCCTTGCCTCCATCACAGACTTCTCCCCTGAGTGGTCCTACCCCGAGGTAATTAATAATCAATACCAATCAATTATTTATCAATCAATCATTGTAAACAGTTAATCTATTATCAATGAGTAATCATTATTGACAACTCATCAGTTATCAAGCAATAATCAGTACCAATCATTATTCAAGCAATAATCAATACCAATAATCAATTATCAATCAATAATAAATACCAATCAATCCATAACTAATCCATATCAGTTATTTACAGTCAAGAATCAATTAATGAACAATACTGAAAATCAATCTTAAATCACTTATCATTATCAGTAATCAATTATCAAACAATATTCAATGCTAGTCAATAAATGAAATATCAAGAATCAATTATCATGCAGAAAGCAGTACCAATAATCAATTATCAATGAATAAACAGTACTGATAATCAATCATAAATCACTTATCAATATCAGTTATCAATTATCAAACAATATTCAGTACTAATGATCAATCAATTCCTGATCAGTAATCGATACGAATAATCAGTTATCAAGGAATAATAAATACCCATCAATCCATAATTAATCCATATTAATTACTCACAGTCAATCAATCAATCAGTAAACAATACTGATAATTGATCATCAGTCAGTAAATTATAATTAGTTATTGATAATGAGGTTAATAATGAGATCAGCATCTTTAACCTGTTAATCAGTGATGATTACACTGAGTACATTTTATTTTCAGGTACTTGTACTTGAGTATTTTTATTTTCTGTTTCTTGCTCCTTCTGACATCTCCAAGGTACATGTTGTAGTTCTTACCGCGTTCCATTTCTTTTACAGATTCAGATTATTGATACAAATCTAATCAATAATTAATAATGATGTATTATTAACGATTAAATGAAGTTATTAAGCTGAGTACTTTGTTCTCAGGGTTATTTATGAACCTGAGGTCAGACTAAATGACTCAGTGATGAACATCAGAGACAGTGAAGGGTTAATAAAGGCGACGAGCGCTGAGCAAAGTCAAAGTGACACCTGTCAGGAGTTACACATTAAAAACATTCAAAGAATAAAAAGACTCACATTTAGTGTGAAATCCACTGATGTGAAGAGGCTCAAACTGCAGTCATTCAGTGTGAGGTGTTCTTCTAACTGTCCACACGGGGGCAGCAGAGTCCTTCCTGCCCTTCAGTACAATACAATACCTGATCAGTATCTTCACCACGACTGTTGTCACATTACTGAAATGTTTAACTTTGATACATCACCTTGAAAAATATCAGTATCTGATACCAGGAGGAAAAATTGACATAGAGGGGATACAATGTTAAAGGTTTATTAAAAGATAAATATAACGAGGCTATAACATGATGATGATGATGATGATGATGATAATGATGGTGACCTGGTTATCAGCAGAGAACAGCAGAACGTCTGAAGGAAACATTAACAATCAAACATACCTACATTAATTTTTGTTTTGATTTTACACTTGCTAAGGCAAATGTATGTTTTCCTCTGCAACAAAGTTCCTTTGAATTCAACTGATTTAAACTGTTAACAGAAGGTCAGTGAGAGAAGGCGAGGGCTATGTAGAGTAAGTTAGAGGAGTTTTATCTTCTTGAGTTCTGTCCTCTCAGGTTTTATCTACTAGAGAGCTATCTTCTTGAGTTTTATCTGCTGGAGTTCTATCCTCTTAAGCTTTATCTTCTTGAGTTCTATCCTCTCAAGTTTTATCTAGTAGAGTTCTATCATCTTGAGTTTTATCTTCTGGAGTTCTATCCTCTGGAGTTCTATCCTCTTGAGTTCTATCTTCTTGCGTTCTGTTTTCTTGAGTTCTATCCTAAGTTTTGTCAACTGGAGTTCTATCCTCTTGACTTCTATTCTCTTGAGTTCTATCTTCTTGGGTCCTATTTTCTTGAGTTCTATCCTCTTGATCTCTGTCTTCTGGAGTTCTTTCTTGTTGAGTTCCAGCCTCTTCAGTTCCATCTACTAGAGTTCTGCCTTCTTTAGTTCTATCTACTGGGGTTCTATCTTCTTGGGCTCTATTTTCTTGAGTTCTGTCCTCTTGAGTTCTGTCGTCTTGGGTTCTATTTTCCTGAGTTCTCTCCTCTTGATCTCTGTATTCTGGAGTTCTTTCTTGTTGAGATCTAGCCTCTTGAGTTCTATCTACTAGAGTTCTGTCTTCCTGCGTTCTATTTACTGGGGTTCTATCTTCTTGGGTTCTATCCTCTTGAGTTCTGTCTTTGTGGGTTCTATTCTCTTTAGTTCTGTCCTCTTGAGTTGTGTCCTCTGGAGCTCTTTCTTGTTGAGTTCTAGCCTCTTGAGTTCTATCTCATTGAGTTCTGTCTTCTTGAGTTCTATATTCTTGGGTTCTATTTTCCTGAGTTCTATCTTCTTGATCTCTGTATTCTGTAGTTCTTTCTTGTTGAGTTCTAGCCTCTTGAGTTCTATCTTCTTGGGTTCTATTTTCTTGAGTTCTGTCCTCTTGAGTTCTGTCTTAGTGGGTTCTATCCTCTTGAGTTCTATCTACTGGAGTTCTTTCTTGTTGAGTTCTATCCTCTTGAGTTCTGTCTTCTTGGGTTCTATTCTCTTGACTTCTTTCTTGTTATCTTCTAGAGTTCTTTCTTGTTGAGTTCTATCCTCATGAGTTCTATCTACCAAAGTTCTATCTACTAGCGGTCTATTCTTTTGAGTTCTGTCTTGTTGAATTCTATCTTCTGGAGTTCTTTCTTGATGAGTTCTATCCTCTTAAGGTCTATCTACTAGAGTTCTATCCTGAGTTCTGTCTTCTTGGGTTATATTCTCTTGAGTTCTGTCTTGTTGAGTTTTATCCTCTTGAGTTCTGTCTACTAGCATTCTGTCTTCTTGAGTTCTATCTAATTGAGCTCTATCTTGTGGCTTCTTGAACTCTATCTACTAGAGTTCTGTTTACTGGAGTTCTTTTTAAGAGTCCTAGCTTACTTCAGATTAAATGTGTTCAGTTGTCATGGAAACGTAGATGTTCTTAAAACAGATGTAAATATATCGGTCAGTAACTCTGACTAAACCTGTGTGTGTGTGTGTGTGTCTGTGTGTGTGTTAGGGAGGTGTTAAGGTATTGATCACAGGACCGTGGAGCGAGCTGTCGGGTCGATACTCCTGTGTCTTCGATCAGAGCACTGTCCCCGCCTCGCTGATCCAACCTGGAGTCCTGCGCTGCTACTGTCCAGGTACACACACACACACACACACACACACAGCATGAGGTTATTGATTTGTGATAGTTCAATAAAACATAAATACGTTTAATTATTTTTTGCTTTGGTGCATCATTTGTTTTTCTGATGGCAATGAAAGATTCAGACAGACTGATGGACTGTGTCTCTGTTCCAGCCCATGAGGCCGGTCTGGTGTGTCTGCAGGTTCTGGAGTCCGGAGGTTCTGTTTCCTCTTCAGTTCTGTTTGAGTATCGAGCGAGGAACGCCAGCTCTCTGCCCAGCTCGCAGCTCGACTGGCTCTCATTGGACGGTCAGATCCAACTCCTCCACCTGTCACACCACCACAAACACAACCACTTAACACAAACACCACAGTGACTTCATTAACTTTCCTTCAGTTGTCTCTACATCCATGGGAACACTGCAGATATCATTCAGCACACTGAACTGTGTCTTTTAAAATCACTGCTTCAAAAGTCTTTTTACCATATTTATTACATCATAATTCCCTCTCTAATATCTGTTTTATGTTGCTGTGAAAACATCGACACATTTTCCATTACATTACATTGAACACATCACGATAACATTTTAATTTACCTTCATCCAACACTCATTTTACTGAATAAAGTGTGAAAGCATCATAATGTGACTCAGTGTTAGCTCCACCGTCTGCTAACAGCTAATATTAACTAGCCGCTGACAGCCAACTAGCTGCTAACAGTTAAGAGCTAACATTGACTAGCTGCTAACAAATGACAGTATCTAGTATCTTACATTAACCATTTGCTAACAGCTAACATTAAGTAGCTGTAAACAGCTAACAGTAACTAGCTTTTACCAGTTAACAGCTAACATTAAGTAGCTGTAAACGGCTAACATTTACTAGCTGCTAACTGTTAACAGCTAACAGTAACTAGCTTTTACCAGTTAACAGCTAACATTAAGTAGCTGTAAACGGCTAACATTTACTAGCTGCTAACTGTTAACAGCTAACAGTAACTAGCTTTTACCAGTTAACAGCTAACATTAAGTAGCTGTAAACGGCTAACAGTAACTAACTTTTACCAGTTAACAGCTAACATTAAGTAGCTGTAAACGGCTAACAGTAACTAACTTTTACCAGTTAACAGCTAACATTAAGTAGCTGTAAACAGCTAACATTTAATAGCTCCTAACAGTTAACAGCTAATAGTAACTACCTTTTACCAGTTAACAGCTAACATCAAGTAGCTGTAAACAGCTAACATTAACTAGCTGCTAACAGCTAAAGTTAACTAGCTGCTAACAGCTAACGTTAACTAGGTCTCCTCCTGCTGATGGGAGATTACTGAGTCCTTTTGTCCTGATGGCGTCCCATCAGGACACTGTTAGTCTGAAGTCCTGTCTTTTAGCCTGAGACAGAACAGAAAAACAGAGCACCGACATTGGTGATGTCATCTGATTTGCTGGTAGGTGGAAGGAAAATATCGGCTGATAAACTGTTGGATTTCTAGTTTGCAGCCTTCGGGGGGCGCTACAGAGGCTTTAATCAGAATTATTACTGATAAGCTTATCAGACTATTGATTACTCTGTGTTTTACTTATTAGGTTTTAATATATTTACTCAGGGGAGATGGGGACAACAGGGTGCTGCAGGAATTAGTCCTAAAACCTGGAAAATTAATTAGCATGTTAGCACTTCCTGTCCACTCGTTTTGAAGTCAGTATGTTTTTGTTTAGATGTGTAAAATAAGGTCTTTTGTTAACACAAGCTGAAGAGAGATTAATGTTTTATTTTATGACATAAAACACATCAGTAAATACCCCACTGTGAATTCAGAAACTTTTATGTGTCTTAAAAAAGATGATTGCTAACAAGTGGTTAATTGAGACGACAGAATGTAGAACATTGGATTGTGTAGTTGATTTGCTAACTGGCTAGCTAACGTCAGACTGTCTCCCTGTTTCCCTTTTTGACGGATGAATGCAGACTAATGCTGTCTGTAGGTGAGGAGGGTTATTTCCTCTCACGCAGGTGCAGAACCTACATGCCGGATGGTCATTGGCTGTAGTCTTTGTGGTGTGTTCATGTGCAACTTTTGGCCTCAGACATGTTGACATGAAGTGGCGCAGCAGGGAGCCGTTAGAGACGGTGCTGCAGAAGTTTCCTGAGAATCATCATGTTCTTAAGTTTCCTTCAGTTGGTAGTTGTCTGTACGTCTGTGAGACACATTATCCAGCTCACTGTGAGTGGAGACACTTTGACTACATGGAGACACAGAGACTGATAAATGTCCTGTGAGGACGGACACACAACATGGTATGTGTGTGTGTGTGTGTGTGTGTGTGTGTGTGTTAGTGGACTGTCTGTCCTCCACTTTATCCCTTTTTGTCTCTCTGTCTGCCTGCTGTCTCTGCTCTGTGTCTGTCAGTGTGTGTGTGTGTGTGTGTGTGTGTGTGTGTGTGTGTGTCCGTCCCTGTCTGTGATTGATGTGCTGGAGCTGTTTTCCACTGTCATCACCTGGAAACACTCTCACAGTCATCAGCTGCTATTTCTGACTCTCCCTGTTGATTGACAGGCACACTAACCAATCAGATTTAGTCTCTCCCTCCCTCCCTCCCTCCCTCACTGTGGGTTTCCCACCATGCCTTGCTGCTCTGCCTCTCCCTCTCTCTTTTTAACTTGTTGATCCTCGCACGCTCGCTCAGTCTGCTCACTGTGCGTGTGTTAAATCTCAGCCTGCGTTGTGTCTCTCGTCAGCTCATCGTCATTGTCACATTTTAAGATCGAGTGTGTGTTAACTTATCCTGTGACATCACAGTGGACAGACACACACACACACACACACACATAGACAGAGAGAATAAGAAGAAGGAGGCATGATTTTTTGGACAGACAGACAGAAGATGGACGTAGGACAGAGACAGGATGGTGTCGGTAGGACCAGACTCTGTGTGTGTGTTTCTGTAGGGGTTGTCATGGTTACACAGCTGCTCAGTAACACAGCAACCACCTACAGTTAAGGTAATAGTAATTATAATAATGATGACCAATGGTGGGAACCTGACAAACAAATGAGAAGTGAGTGAAATTTTCAGAAATACTTTGTTACCTTTACTGTTACAGATGTGATTGTTTAGTGTCCACTTTATTAGGTACACCTGTGCAGTCTGCTGCTGGTCTACCTTTCTGATGTCTGTAATTCATTGAGTCTGACAACCATTATGAGCTTTATGCAGAGATGTTAGATTGTGCAGCTGTACCTAATAAAGCGACCATTGAGTACATTTAACTTTGTACAGTCGCTGTCGGTCTCTTTAAACTGATGTGAAGATTCACACAATTCAAGCAGTTTGTCATGAATATGATGCAAAAACGCGCACAATGTTTTGGACCAAAATCCGTGCTCAGTGTTTAAAAGCCTTAAAATGAATTAGATAATCTTACATTTGAAATTCAGGTCTTAATTTACAGTAGGGGTGAGAATCTCCAGGTACCTCACCCTATGATTATGATTCAGAGGGCAAAGACTCAATGATAAGATGATTATTGATGCATCAAAATTTTTGATTTCAGTACATGATTTATTTTTCTTACTGTGTGACTACTTGAGACTGTTAAAACATAGCATACTGTATTTGTAGTGATCCAAAATTATATAACTAGATTAATTTACTTGCATACAATGTGGCTGTTGTTCAAGTCCCTTTTCCCTTCGACCTTATATTCACAATACTTTCATACTGTGACGTTCAAACCAGTCAGATTGTTTCCACCTGTGGTTGCCCACACTAATCTGTAGTGTACATTTGTAAATCGATGCCAAATCGTCTGTATCGCAGTGCATCTAAGAATCGATTATTTTATCGACCCCTAATTTACACCAACATTTTATTTAATTGGATTTATCCATCTTTTAATTTCTTTTTGTCAAAACGTGTGGGACCATGTTTAACAACAGCAAAACTACAACACCTTTTTGAAAATCCTTTTTGACCTAAACTCAATTGAATCCAGTCCAGAGATATTTAATGTTCAAACCAAAAAACTTTATTGTTTTTGTGCCCTTATTCTGCAGCAGGTTATGATAAAGTTGGGACAGGATAAACAGCAGACTGGGAAAGTTATGGAATGTTAAAAAACACCAGTTTGGAAGAGTCCACAGGTAAACAGGTGAACTGGTAACAGGTGATAGTATCATTGATAGGTATGAATGGATCGTCTTTGAAAGGCTCGACTGTTCACAAGCAAGGACAGTCACTTTGTAAAAAACTTTAAGGACAAACAGTCCAACAGTTTAAGAACAATGTTTCTCATTTAGTGATTTAACGTCTACATCCCATAATATCATCAAAAGATTCAGAGAATCTGTAGAAATCTCTGCATGTAAGGCACAAGGCTGATTGTCTGTGACCTTTGACCCCTCAGACTGCACAATGTTAAAAACCAACATGACTGGATAAAGGATATTACTACATGGGCTCCGGAACACTTTGGAAAACCACTGTCAGTAAACACATCGCCCACGTCTCTGGGCCCAGGCTCATCTGAGATGGACCAACAGACAGTGGTCTGACCAGTCCATCATGGACGTTGTGTCCTCCAGGACCAGCATCTGTGATGGGATGGAGGTGCATCATGGGTAACTTCCTATCTGTGTTGGGATGGAGGTGCATTATGGGTGACTTCCTATCTGTGTTGGGATGGAGGTGCATTATGGGTGACTTCCTATCTGTGATGGGATGGAAGGGCATCATGGGTAGCTCCCTATCTGTAACAGGATAGAAGGCTATCATGGGTAACTTCCTATTTGTGACGGGATGGAATGGTATCATGAGTAACTTCCTATCTGTGATGGGATGGAAGGGTATCATGGGTAACTCCCTATCTGTGACGGGATGGAATGGTATCATGGGTAACTTCCTATCTGTGACGGGATGGAAGGGTATCATGGGTAACTCCCTATCTGTGACGGGATGGAATGGTATCATGGGTGACTTCCTATCTGTGACGGGATGGAATGGTATCATGGGTAACTCCCTATCTGTGACAGGATAGAAGGGCATCATGGGTAACTTCCTATCTGTCACAGGATAGAAGGGCATCATAGGTAACTTCTATCTGCGACGGGATGGAAGGGTATCATGGGTAACTTCCTATCTGTGACGGGATAGAAGGGCATCATGGGTAACTTCCTATCTGTGACGGGATGGAAGGGTATCATGAGTAACTTCCTATCTGTGACGGGATGGAAGGGTATCATGGGTAACTTCCTATCTGTGACGGGATGGGGAGTATCATGGGTAACTTCCTATCTGTGATGGGATGGAGGTGCATCATGTGTAACTTCCTATCTGTGACGGGATGGGGAGTATCATGGGTAACTTCCTATCTGTGACGGGATGGAGGTGCATCATGGGTAACTTCCTATCTGTGACGGGATGGGGAGTATCATGGGTAACTTCCTATCTGTGACGGGATGGAGGTGCATCATGTGTAACTTCCTATCTGTGACGGGATGGGGAGTATCATGGGTAACTTCCTATCTGTGACGGGATGGAGGTGCATCATGGGTAACTTCCTATCTGTGACAGGATGGAGGTGCATCATGGGTAACTTCCTATCTGTGACAGGATGGGGAGTATCATGGGTAACTTCCTATCTGTGACGGGATGGGGAGTATCATGGGTAACTTCCTATCTGTGACGGGATGGAAAGGCATCATGGGTGACTTCCTATCTGTGACGGGATGGAAAGGCATCATGGGTAACTTCCTATCTGTGACGGGATGGAATGGTATCATGGGTAACTCCCTATCTGTGACAGGATAGAAGGGCATCATGGGTAACTCCCTATCTGTGACAGGATAGAAGGGCATCATGGGTAACTTCTATCTGCGACGGGATGGAAGGGTATCATGGGTAACTTCCTATCTGTGACGGGATAGAAGGGCATCATGGGTAACTTCCTATCTGTGACGGGATGGAAGGGTATCATGAGTAACTTCCTATCTGTGATGGGATGGGGGGTATCATGGGTAACTTCCTATCTGTGATGGGATGGAAGGGTATCATGAGTAACTTCCTATCTGTGACGGGATGGGGGGTATCATGGGTAACTTCCTATCTATGATGGGATGGAGGTGCATCATGTGTAACTTCCTATCTGTGACGGGATGGGGAGTATCGTGGGTAACTTCCTATCTGTGACGGGATGGGGAGTATCATGGGTAATTTCCTATCTGTGACAGGATGGAGGTGCATCATGGGTAACTTCCTATCTGTGACAGGATGGGGGTGCATCGTGTGTAACTTCCTATCTGTGATGGGATGGAGGTGCATCATAGGTAACTTGACATCTGTGAAGGCACCATGAAAGCTGATAGGTACATACAGGTTTTGGAGCAACATATGCTGCCATCCAGACGACGTCTTTTCCAGGGACGTCCCTTCACATTCCAGCAAGACAATGAGACACATTGTGACGTGTTCCAACAGCGTGGCTCCGTAGTGACAGAGGGCAGGTACCAGAGTGACCTGCCTGCAGTCCACACCTGTCTCCCAGTGAACATGTGTGGGACATAATGAAGCGTTGACGCCGGAGAGGTGCATCATGGGACTGTTAAGACACTGAAGTCGGATATCAAGCAAGAAAAACTGTCCTCAGTTCCCAAACACTTTCTGAGTGTTGTTGAAAGAAAAGGTGATGTTACACAGCCGTAAACATGCTCCTGTCCCAACTTTATAACAGCCTGCTGCAGAATGAGTGTAGATTTACAAAAAGAATTAAGTTCATCAGTTTGAACAATAAATATTTAGACTGTATGTGACTGAACATAGGTAGTTACGTTTTGCACAGTGTCCAGACTGTTTGGGAGTTGAGTTGTATATCAAAACATTGTTGACAAATTGTCACATAACTCATCCAGTATAATCCGAGTCTCATTTATCCAGCTGTATGCTCAGTACTTCACACAAAACCATTCATTTAACATTATGGAACAAAGGAGCTGACGTGCTCCCCTTTTACTTCATCAAGAATTTTCTACTTTCTGGATTCTACATTCACCACTGAGACGCAAGAGAAAAACAGAATTAAACGTAACACGTGGTGAGTAACCAACAGACAAATGGTAATTTGGCAGATAAAATATTCCTTTAATCAGTCACAGTCCACCTCTGCTGTTGTTCTGTATGGTCGAAACGTGTTTCAGTAATAATCACAAACTACTGCACTAGAAACTGCAGCACTAAACACAATACTATAAGTGTCAGGTTCTTTATTGTCACATGTAAACGAAGAAAATCATGCAAAAAAACATCAGCACCTATTGTTACATCATTAATCGTTGGATAAATCAACATTGTTTCCCATAATAACATAAGTTAGTATCATGGATCACATTGTCTGATTAAGTTCCTTCGCAAGCTAGCTAACTGACATAGCCACTCTGATAGCATTTTGCTAGCACTAATGTTAGTGAGCAGGCAAGCTAAGGTTAGCCAGCTAGCTGTAACTGAGCTGCGCTGAAGTGATCTGGTGTCGTTTGCTTCATAACATTAGCTGATAAAGTAACTTGCAAACAGCAAGCTAGCTAATTTACCAGCCAGATCAGCCCTGGAGTCTGAATGAATTAAATGATGTTAATCACCCAAAACAGTATTTTGCTATGTTAGCTAATAATTCATCCAAGTTGGCAAGCAACAGAACTTTAGATTTGGGGCACTGAATTTGATGGATTTACTGTTTATCAAACAACAAATAAGACACAAATTAGGTAGCTAACACAGCCGCTGTAGTAACTCAAATTCTGTCAGCACAAACCCCAGCCTCTGGGTTCACAGTGGGGTCTAACCCATGTTACAGCAGCAACAGAAAGTTTGCTGATCCAGTGGGCGCTAAGTGAAGGTCTGTCTCTGTCAGTATAAATTTATTTAACAGAATCACAGCATGTGTGTCATGGTGGATGTCGGCTGCTTGTTGTCAATAGTGGACTCTTATTTTAGCTAGCATTAACTTGTGTTGCACACTGTTAGCACCGTAGCGGACCCGACGATTAGACATTCCTCCCTCTGATTTTGCTAATGTGTAAATGTTTTCTTCCAGTGAGCTGAAGAACTGCAGACTGATCAGTGATCAATCAGTGACGCATCAGTATTTTCTACAGTAATGATCATAAACTGAATCTCTGTCAGTTTTTGTGCCGATCAAACCAAACAGAGAATCTGTAAAGGCGAACGTTAAAAAAAATATAAGCAGTTAATCAATTGTTGTTTGTGTGTGTGTGTGTGTGTGTGTGTGTGTGTGTACGTGTACAGGTCACAGTGTATCATTCTGTATTAGTTTATATATAGTTTCTGAAATGGAAACTATCTCGACTGACTTCAATCATCCTGCCGCCTGGCACCGTGTGTGTGTGTGTGTGTGTGTGTGTGTGTGTTATTTAAGAGCGGAGTTTCCATTTGCTTCCTGGTTAGAGCTGTCGACACACACACATCGGTTCAGGTCATTATTATTATAATTAGAGCTTGGTATCTTTAAAAAACTATAATACCAGTACCTTTAAAGTGATACTGATACTAACACAGTACTTTGTTCAGTACCCATCAGTGCAGTGTATCCATACTTTAAGATAATCGAACGTTGAGGTGGCATTTTGGGTTGCTGAACTGTCAACTCGCTTGACTTCAGTACAACACAGACTGTAGGGGTTGTAGCTGCTGCTGCAGGAGTGTGAGCCCTGCACAGTGGACAGTTATGAGAGTCCGCCCTGCTGCACTACTACAGTGACAGAGCTAACTGTTAGCATCACATGGCTAAGATTATCTCACCCTTGTAAATGGGTTCAATGACAGAGTTGAGCCGTTTCTTTGTCAGTGTGTGTTTGTTGGGATTGTTTAATGGCTCCGTGTTGGATGTTAGCTGCTGCTGCTGAGTTAGCTTGTGCTATCCAAGCAAACATTGAACTGAGCAGCTCTTGAGACGACAGCAGCAAAAAGGATCAAATGCAGGTATTATTTGACTGGAGATGTTTTGATTCTACTTGTTCCTGGTTTATTTTAGTTGATACCATAAAGGTATTAAGTACAGATATCCAGTCCTTGTTATAACACAGGTAGATGTGCAGCTGAAATGAGCAACACAATGTCGTACAGATTGTTTTGGCTCCAAACTAAAGTTAAAAAATAATTCCTGCCCCAGACAACAATAAGTTCCCTCTGAGGAAAGCACTCTGCAGGATTCCCAATCTGTCAGTTCCACAGCCTCTACTGCACCCACCTATGGCAATGTGTTCCTTCTTCTCCCACCCTGCACTGTGTACCCTGCGTACCATGGTTGCATCCAGGCAGCCTGTCCACAAAAAAGCCATAAGTGTGTTTGGCATGCACCTGACACCTGACTGACACCTGGACTCTCTGTGAGCACAAGAGGACACTGTGTTTCCACTTTATTACCATATGATGGGATCAATATTATCAACCATGGGTACCCCTCGAACTGAGACTGGTTTAAGCTTAAGGTTTCGTACACATGCTGAGTTTTTTGTGCCCTCAAATTCATTGTTTTCAACGTAGATGCACGGCAGGCACGCTCAAACGCCAGAGCAACGCCGTCGCGGTGTGCATGCTTTCCCTAGTGGCTATTTTTCAGAGAGGGACAGCTGCGCCCTGAGATAAACAGAGTTCAACTTTTGGAATGAAGCAGCGCGCACCGTGTGTCATGTGACGAGGACCAACTAATCACAGCCAACAGATATATTTCCTTCTTCAGTAAATATCAGTCTGTGATAAATATAGAGAAGTTTATCGTTTTAGTGCAGAGCTGTCAGAGCTTTAATTGTGTCCCACAGACAATATTTTTGGCCCAGTACACATTTACAGAACAATGCCTGGAAGAAGATCAGTTCTGCACTCAGGATTTCTAGTAGGTAGGCTATGACACGGTGCTGGTTATGGTCGCTTAACATCTGCAGTGAAACCTGCCTCTGTGCCATTATAAGTAGCCAAATAAGAAGAAAAACTTAAATAATAATTTTATTTTCATGAGATAACAAAGCTCGTCTTTTTATCGATATAACAAGACAAATCAACCTTTTCTTTTCTGCTGGTAACGGGTTGATTATCTCGTTATCATGAGATAAAAAAGTTTGTTTTCTCGAGACGTCAGCATTAATGAAATAACTGAAGTGCGGCCGAAGCGGGAGGTCTCACTCTGTGTTTTCTGTGTGCAGATAATCAGTTCAGGATGTCCATCCTTGAGCGGCTGGAGCAGATGGAGCGCAGGATGGCAGAGATGGCTGCCCGCGACAACAACCAGCAGCAACACCATCATCATCATCAACAACAGCAACATGGCAACCAACTGGCCACGCCCCCTCCCCCGCCCCTACCTGAGGACCACGAACAGGTGAAAACACCAGCAGTCATGATGTAGTGTCCACTTTATTAGGAACACCTGGCTGATCCAACAGTCCAACTCTTGCTGATATGACTAATAGAAACAGCTGTCAGTAGATCACAACAGTCTGCAGAGCGACACGACTCGACGCTTTGTTTCATGTTTCAGCTCCGTCTCTGTGTGTAAGGTCACAGGGACACACTCTCAATTCTACCTGTGTGATTGTATTGGTACTGACAGAGCTGCAGAAAAAAAATGTCTGTAATGACCCTTTAGATATGTTTTTGATGACAATTTGCTGGTTTTTAAAATCATAATAACACAAATGTATATAGATTTTGGGACCAGATTTAAAGGTGTAAAGTCTTTTGTCTTTGTTGCACTGTAAAGCTGAGCGATCCTCATGGAGGTCAAATGTCAAGCAGATTACACAAAGGTGACAGTTGAGCTGGTAAACAGGTTAAGAAGAACAAATTGACCCGAATGGAAAATCCTTGTGAAACACCTCTGCAGCGTGACCTCTGTTGAACCAAGCTGCAGCCTCCCTCTCTCTGATGTCATGGGGAATTTGGCAGGTCCAGTCCTCGGGTTAAAATAGACTCAATGTGACACAGACAGACAGACAGACGGACACGAAAACAATTACAACATGCACACTGAGCTCTACTCATCACACTCTCCCTCTTTTCAACTGTTTTGACATTTTTAACCTAAAAAAATCCACTGATACATAAAAATTACTTATTCTTTTTTTTAATTATTAGAGGTTTAGAGCTTTTATTTTGAAGGATAGGTAGATATTTTAACTTAAAGGTCCAGTGTGGAGGATTTGTGTCCATGAAAATGAAGAATTACAATCTGTAGCTGGAGCAGTGATGTGAAGCAGAAACTACTGATGTGTTAATCTGTTAATCAATGTCTCTGTCTCTCCCCACCTGTCCGTCTCTGTGTCTCTCTGTCCATCAGTCCTCTCAGTGGTTTGAGAGGAGGATTGTGGGAGTGTGTGAGAGGATGATGAGAGGAGGACGGTGGGGAGGAGGAGGAGGAGGAGGGGAGAGGCTTCATCACTCCGTCCGTCACCGTGGGATGACACTGCTCCACCTGGCTGCTGCACAGGGATACACACACCTGATACACACTCTGATCCACTGGAGGTACACACACACACACACACACACACACACACACACACACACATTGTGAGCAGGGCTGCCCATTAGGGGCTACATTCTGAGGTTTAAGCCAGCATGGAACTTTAAAACTTGAAAGCTGGGTAAGAAAATGCACCCAAAAATGAAAATTCAGCCATTATCTACTCACCCATATGCCGAGGGAGGCTCAGATGAAGTTTTAAGAGTCCTCACATCACTTGCAGAGATCCAAGGGGAGAGGAGGTAGCAACACAACTCCACCTAATGGAGGCTGACGGCGCCCCAGATTCAA